CATAAATTCCAGCTCTGCCTGAAGTCCTTGCTAATAGCGGAACCAAGTTCCTTCCACTCCCTGAGCTCCCGTCTTCTTATTGGTAAAACGGGAATTGATCTACCTTGAAGGGCTGTCCTCGAGATGGGAAGTGATTTGTGCCAAGTGCCCATGTGGTATCTGGTATGCAGAAGGTACTCAAAAGATGTTATTTTCCCTGCTCCTTGTCACTTTCTCCTCCCCTGCCCAGCATCACCTTGAATGGAATTGGGAGAATATTCGCTCAGAGACACTGACATTCTTCCCACCCTAGAAGAGAGACCCAATTAATTATCACTCCCTAAACCATTTCTTCATCCTGTAATAAGCAGGGGAAGGACATCTGTCAAGAGGCAAAGATTGGGCGGTGATTGGGATGGGACCTGGGGACCAAAGCTGCGAAGCTACATCTGTGTCCATGATACATTACGCAGTTTCCACTCGGTACTCACGGCACCTAAACGAGACAGGAAAGCAGCAGGACATTCACTAGATTTGTTGAAAAAAAAGTGGGGGGCATAAAGAGAATAATCACCATCCACTTTACAAGTCCAATCAAGAGTATGTGTCCCTTAGAGTAGCTGAAGGTCAAAAACACATCCTCTTTAACCGTCATTTCTGCAGCAGATTCCATTCAACACTGGCTCAAGTGGATGGGGGGAAGATGTGGAGAGGTCAAGAAAAAAATTCTCTGCGTAGAGCCTGCAGTTCATGAACACTCTTCTACTAGGGCAGTATTTCTCAAAGGGTAGGCTGTGGGCCACCTGCACTGTAATCATCTATCTCGGTGCTGGTTAAAAATATGCGGATTCCTGGAATACATCCAGTTTTACTAAACCAGAATATAGCTGTGAGACCTTGGAATGTCTGATTTCTATGAAGCACTTGTGGTCATCCTGGTGCATGTCTACAATTGAGAAGCCCGCCCTGCACGGCTCACATGTGCTGCTGCTGAAGAAACTGCAGCCGCTAAGGAGGATGCCTCAACGCACAATCCCTTGCTGGCCTGGGCTGGGGGCTGAAGGACGAGTCCTGGTGGCTGATGATGTTGTTTCTTTATGACTCAGGCAGTCTTCTGGCCTTGTAGCTAGCACAAGCCAGCCTGAGCGGCTGTTGCTGGAGAAGCAGAATGAAGGTGAAGAGGTACTTGGAGCCTAATCAGCTGTCCTTCAAGTGGAGAGTGGAATCAGGGCTACCAGCCAGCTCTGCCACTGCAGGTGTCGCTTGATGGAGGGGTGCTGGAAGTGGACTTTTTCCCAGGAGCACTCACAGGCAGGACTGAGGTCCAAGGGGAGAGTTTCAAAGCCTGGGATCGGGTTTTCCATGGAGTGAGCAACCTGTTCTCCTGTCTGTTCCTCCATCGTTACCATCTCCACCCGCTTCTCCTTGCCCCATTTTCTTTTTCTTCTTATATGTCACATACATATTTGTTTGCCAACTGCCTGTGCCCTACTAGAATACAGGCTCCACAAAAGCAGCCACTTTCCCCATCTTAAAAAACCTATACCTAGAAGACAGACTGGCACATAAAAGGCACTCAACAAAGATTTCTTGAAAGAATGAATGACTATTCTTCACATCCCCCAAGCACATTGGGGCTCAGAGAGAAGTCTGCCTGACAATTTCCCCACAGGCTGGCAGCTTCACTTGTTCAGGGAATTAGGAGCCCGAGGGCACGATCTGAGTGTAATAACCCAAATTTGCACTTATGGTTTTCTATGTCAGGCTCCCTGGCTAGACTGTGAGCACTCTCTCCGTGTAGGGTCTGAATCTTTTTCAGCTTCGTTTCCCCCAGGCCCAGCATGGTACCTGATACATAGTGCATGCTCAATATATTACTTGTTAAATGAATAAAATGGCCATTCTGTGAAACGCCATCCCCGTAGTTTCTGGCTGCCTACCTAACCCTGCTCTGATTTGAGAAATTATGCAAAATGGTAGCTCTTTTTGCTTATAGGTAATACAGCTCTGGCCCAGAGATATGAGGCGCTGCTGAGAGTCAGCAGCAGGACTCTGGGCTCCACTCTGTCTGGGACTCTTTCTTTTCACTGCATCATCTTCCAAGAAGGGTGACCTGGCCTCAGGGCCCAGCATAATTACGATCTCCTGGAAAGAACTCCACTGGGCCTTTAAGGAAAGCTGATCAGAACCTTCAGATGCAGGGACAGGGGATCAGGAGGCAGACGTGAAGGGGCCTCCATAGGGGTAGGGCTTCATCAGAATCACCTTGGGGGCTTGACGACAGCATCAGCTCCTGGGGCCTATCATAGGCCTATCATATTCTTGTGAGATAGAGTTTAAAAATCTGTGTATTTAATGCTTTTCCAAGGTGATTCTGAGGCATAATTTGTTGTAATGGTTAAGAACTTTAGAGGTAGACCTATTTGGGTCCAAAACCAGCTCTGTGATTACTATTTGTTCAAGGACAAGTCAGTTAGTCTTCCTGAGTCTCTGTTTCTTCAACTATAAAATTGGGAATAATCAAAAGTATCTATTTTGTAAGGTTAAAAGAGAAAATATATATAAGACACTTAACATGGCATAAGACCCATGGTAAGAGCTTAATAAATGGAGGCTGCCATGATGACGTCAATCGCAGTGGTAGTGATCACGATGTTGACAGTGGCGATGATGATGACAATGGTGGTGGTGGTGGTGATGACAGTGGTGGTGGTGAGTGGTGGTGGTCATGATGATGGTGGTGGTGGTGGTAGTGATGGTGGTGATGATGAGGATGGTGGTGGTGATGATGGTGGTGGTGGTGGTGGTGGTAGAGGTGATAGTGGTAGTGGTGTGATGGTGGTGGTGTGATGATGGTGATGGTTGTGGTGGTAGAGGTGACAGTGGTAGCAGTGTGATGGTGGTGGTGTGATGATGACGGTGATGGTTGTGGTGGTAGTGGTGATAGTGGTAGTGGTGTGATGGTGGTGTGATTGTGGTGGCGGTGGTGATGGCGGTGGTGGTAGTGGTGATGGCAATGGTGGTGGTAATGATGATGCTGGTGGTCGTGGTGATGATGACAGTGATGGTGGTGGTGATGGTGATAATGCTAGTGTTGGTGGTAATGATGACAGTGATGGTGGTGGGGTGATGGTGGTGGTGGTGGTGATGACAATGGTGATGGTAATCATGATGATGCTGATGGTGGTGATGACGACAGTGATGGTGATGATGCTGGTGGTGGTGGTGATGATGGTGGTGGTGGTGATGGTGACAGTGATGGTGGTGAGGATGATGACAGTGACAGTGGTGATGATGCTGCTGGTGGCAGTGATGGTGATGGTGGTTGTGGTGATGATGGTGGTGGTGATGGTGATGATCATGACAGTGATGGTGGTGGTGATGATGGTGGTGGCGGTGATGGTGGTGGTGATGGTGGTTATGGTGATGATGATGGTGGTGGTGGTGGCGGTGGTGATCATGACAGTGATGGTGGGGGTGAAGGTGATGATGATGCTGGTGGCAGTGGTGATGATGGTGGTGGTGGTGATAATGGTGGTGGTAGTGATGATAACGACAGTGATGGTGGTGATGACAGTGATGGTGGTGGTGATGATGGGATGGTGGTGGTGATGGTGGTGATGATGATGGTGGTGGTAGTGATGATAATGACGGTGATGACAGTGATGGTGGTGATGATGACGGTGATGGTGGTGATGGTGGTGATGATGGTGATGGTGGTGGTGATGGTGGTGATGATGATGGTGGTGGTGGTAGTGATGATAATGACAGTGATGGTGGTGATGACAGTGATGGTGGTGATGATGATGGTGATGGTGGTGATGATGATGGTGATGGTGGTGGTGATGGTGGTGATGATGATGGTGGTGGTGGTGGTGATGATAATGACAGTGATGGTGGTGATGACAGTGATGGTGGTGATGATGATGGTAATGGTGGTGGTGATGATGGTGATGGTGGTGATGATGATGGTGGTGGTAGTGATGATAATGACAGTGATGGTGGTGATGGTTGTAATGATGATGGTGATGGTGGTAATGATGACGGTGATGGTGGTGGTGATGATGGTGATGGTGGTGGTGGTGATAATGACAGTGATGGTGGTGATGATGACGGTCATGGTGGTGATGACAGTGATGGTGGTGATGGTGGTGGTGATGATGATGGTGGTGATGATAATGACAGTGATGGTGGTGGTAATGATGATGATGATGATTTTTCATAATCTCCTGGAAAAGGTGATTTGCAACCCTTCAGTAGCGTGCTTCCTTGTTCAGCCATTCTGACAGGGAGCTCTTCAATGTGCCCACTTCTTGCTGTATTTAGTGCCTGGATTCCTGCTTACTAGCCTTTTTTAAAGCTGCAGAAGGGTTAGCCAAATAATAAGGAGTTGATTACTAGGGTGATGGTGAGGGTGGGAGACCTTCAAGAGATACTTTGAGAGTCAGATCCCTGTATCCTCTGATGGAAGAGGATCTCAGAAAAGTGAATTAAAAGTAATGGCAGAGAATGAGCAAAGGAGTGGGGAGCTGAAAGGAACTATGAAGGACAACCATCCCTCCAATGACACAGCAGGCAGGGAGTGGCCAGGAGAGGAGCATGGGGGTGAGAGCTGTGAGTTGGTCAGAGAAGAGCAGACAGGAGCAACCCAGCTATGCACTTCAGCACTGAAGGGCCTCCTTGGCCTACGTGGGATATAGCGTCTACCTTGCCGGCAGGCTCCCTGGAGTATAACACGGGCTCTAGGATTAGGGTCAAACTCAGGTACTAAAATCTTCCCTGGAAATTCTTCCCGCACATGATACCCCTTTGCCTCCCCTCTCATCCCAGTTCCCTCTGGTGGCAGGAAGAGGGTGGCTGGTGCAGGCCAGGAGCCTCCCCCAGGATCCAGCCTGCTGCTCTTGGGGATAACTGGGACCAGGAGGCCATCCCAAACACCAAGGCATGGAAGAAATGGGCTGGGGTCAGAGAAAGGAACAGAGGGGAGGGAGCTGCCACTACCACAGCACAGCTATGCTTACCTGCCGAAAACCATTCCTCGTGAACTGTAAGATTTTCAAGGCATAGTTGGACCTCTGGCCTTTGCTGTTGAATTCAATGTGGCCGGTAAGACCTTCCAATTCTACCTGTCCAAGAGAGAGTGAGTTACAGCACCAAACAGGCCCCATGTTATACTTGGCCCCAACAAGATCTCTACACAGGGGCTATTTAAGGATGCCCAGAAGAGGGAATGCAGTTAAGATCTTTCTCCTGCCCACCCACAGCCAAGGCATCTTGAGATGATAAATGTGGTGTCTGCAGGGATAATTCAGACTTGGCTTGACCTGGAGTAGGAGAAGAATGCTCTCCCAATCACCCCATACCAACTGTACAAAACAACCCAGTCACGGTGCTAACTTGAGCTCAGATTCCCCTCGGCCCCTCTTCCAGGCCCTTGGCTGCCCACAGCATTCATCCTCTCTGGGCAGGTGCTCACCCACCGCCAGGCCCACAGGAGGTCTGGATGACTCTCCACCTAACTCTACACGCAAAATCCAAGACACTGTGCTGCGGCAGGCTTCTCTGACAGGAGATGTCTTCTGTGTGGGGTAGAGATCCACATTCGTCCACCAGAGGAAGCACGGCTGGGGAGGACAACAATGGGAAACCCAGCCATGCCAGAAGTCTTGAGCCTGCAACTCCCAGAGGGATGCCAGTCTCCAGCAGCACTGCCCTTTCCCAGCTGTATGAAGCTTTGCTGAGAACACCGCTGAACAGAGAGGCCAGGTACTAAGTCTGCAATTCAGGGGCCCATTAATAGTGGAAGGCTCCAGGGCTGTTGCCTTCTGAACAAACTTCCATGGATTCTCAGTGGTTATTGGGGTTTAGGGAAGAAATGTGGCTCATGATCCATTCAACTGGGGTCGCCAGAGATCCCTGATTTATCTGGGGCTATAATACAGGTACATTTCAGAGAAGCCTGGGGCTGAGGCACTCTTGGACCTTGAACCATGTGTCCAACCCTATTAGCCTGGGCACAGCCCTGCAGGGCCTCAGCCGCCGCTCCTCACCATGCGCAGGTAGTTCATGAGGCTGGTGCCGTGCTGCCAGATCTGGGCCGAGCCACAGGACAGGGGCTTCACGCCGATCTCCTGGCTCCGGTTCAATTCCTGTACCGCAGTCACCACAGCATAGACCGCATCAAACAGCAGGGCGGAGGAGAGCTGGGAGAGGCCCGGGAGCAGGCGGACAGAGGGAGTGACAGGTGGAGAAGAAGAAAGGGAGGGGAGGGAGAAAATAAGAGGAATGGAGAAAGAAAAGAGAAAGCAAAAGAAAGGGAAATAAGGGTGCATCTTCATTGCCCTTGGCCCACATCCTTTCTCTGGGCCAGTTCTACTTCATCTAACAGCCAAGTGCTCACCCAAGGCACACAATGGTGCCAAAGGCTGCTCTGGGATTGAAGCCTCCAGCTAGCCCATTGGACCCCAAATGACTTCAAGTGCATCCTTTTTCTCTGCTCCAGGGAAACAAGCAACTGCTGTGGCTCCCAGGAGTCCTCAAGAAGAGGGCAGGGCTGCTTATCTCAAGAAGAGAAGAGAAAGGAACCTGGCCACTGCCCCCGTATCTGCCTGTTCTTTAAGGCTCAGTTAAAGGTCACTTCCTCCTACAAGACCTGAACAATATTATTTCTTCCTAAATGTACCCAATATTAGTCCACTTTGTACTGTTCAACGTGATGAGTAGGTATGAAGCACATGGTAAGTTCAAAGCCCAAAGATGACTAAGAGCCTACTTCTGTGATTACAGCAGGACAGGGAGGGGAGGTACAAGGAGACAGGGCACAAACGAGGAGAACATGAGACTGAGTGAGCCACATCCACAAAGGTCTTGGCGGGGGCGGGTTCCAAAGAGGGAAACATCTGGTGGGGCAACCAAGAAAGTCTGTCGAGGAGGATGCTGCCCTGGAACTGAGCACTGAAGCATGGGGAGCCGCTGGGAAGAGAGAAAGGCATTCCAGAGCATAGATCTGCAGGAACAAAGGCTAGGGGGTGGAGAGTTGGAGCACTCCTGGGGTGGGGTGGGGGTGGGGGCCAGAGGAAGTAGTCTATCAGACACATGGCAGGAGTTATGGCGTGCAGGGTATGAAAGTCAGGGAAGTGGTCAGCACAGTTGTGTGTTTATGCTTTCACCTTCCCTATTAAACTGCAAGCTTAAACAAGACCTTAATCTCTATATTCTGCATAGCATCTGCCATGGGGCTTGTCATGTGGCTGGCCCCCAAGACAGTTGCTTCACTTGAATTAACTTCTGGCTGAAGTCTGCCTACTACCCAATGAGTGGATACAGTGTTCGCAGCCTGTGGGGAGGGCAGAGCTGGGTATCTTTGTGGAGGTGGTAGGAGTGGAAAGACAGAAGCTGCCTGACCTTGAGGAACGTGCAATCTAAGGAGGAGATAATACCACACACTGTTAATGTACGCAGGGTCCCTGGCAAAAAACCAACCAAACAAACAAATCTACTAAGTGCAATTGACTATACACTCAGTATTGTGCCAGGCCCCTGAGTGGGGCCAGGAAGGCAGGTGGAAGCCTCCTGGGAAGAGTGGTGTTATGGGGCTAGAAGTCCACACACAGTCCCATTACAAGGCAAGTTCCTTCACTGAAACACAACATTCCACAACTGGCAACTCAACATTGCCCCTTACAAGCCTCCTCTTTCAACTGACAGTACCCTTGTGAGGGTCCCATGTAAGACCCTTGTGAGGGCACCATTCCATGTGACCAACTTCTTATAGCTCGCCTCCTTCCTAGCCAGCCCTGGGACACTGGCCCCTCCAAGGTTGGAGGGAGGGATGCTGTCTTGGATTTTTTCAAGCTCTTCAGGCAGAGCGTCAGCAGTGCAAGATGGTGAGGTGCTGAGGAAAGAACTTGAAAGCGTGAACACGAAACCCAGAGTCCAGGTCCCAGCCCCTCACCATGTGCTAAGTGATCCCAGGCACGTGAAATCTCTCCAGGTGAGCAACAATTTCTGCATTTGTAAAAGAGAAGCAGCAGTCCTTGCCTCACAAGTCTATAAAAGTGCTCTGCAAACTGCCAGTGTCAGAAGACAGCGTTCCTGAGGGCAGGGGCTATTGCCCCCAGATCCAGACAGATGTTAGCAGCAGTGCTTAGGAAGCAGGTGTTGGCTGAACTAAGTCAGGCTCCAGGGAGTGGTAAGGACAGGAGGCTACAGGCGGGGTGGATGGCCTTGCTACCTACCCAGTTTTGCTACATGTTGGGCCAGGAGGCCTAGGAGGGGAACTGGGTGACCATCTCTGGATAATCTCTTTAAAAGGCAATTACAGAGCAAAACAGTCAACAGAGTTCCTCTGCTCCAGCCCAAGTTCACCTGCATCACAAAACTACCTGACTGGTATATGTTTTCTTCCTCCCTCACCCTTTCTCCATCCCTCTCTTGCTGCTTCTTCCCCTCCTTGCCTTGCTTCTTTTCTTTCTTCCCACTTTTATTCCACCACTAACATCTGGCAGGAACCATGGACCTCAACACCTTCTCACTCTCCACAGAGACACTGGATCAGGCCACTGAGTCCCCTTGGCCTCTGTCGAGTCTCCTGCCTCCACTGCTCCAACTCCCCTCCCATCTGTCCCTTGGTCCCGGAGCCGCCTGGAACCCAAAGAATAAGCAACAAAGGGCACCCCATTCCCACCATGGGGAACAGTGGACGCCTCTGCAGTGCTGCTGAGCCAGGATGAGCTGGCCTGAGCCACCACACTCCTGAGACCCTCCGTCCATCATCTTCCACTCTCTCTTCCTGCCCTTCCCCTTTGCCCTCAGCTCCTTCTTCATTTGATGCACCCTGCCTGGCAGCGAATACTCTTTTGCAAGCCTACAACTGTCCTTGTTCTTCCATGTAACTTGCTTTCCCCTCAGCACATGTGGCTCTTTTATTAATGGGCCTCTCACATTTGCTTGCCAAAAGGACATACGGACTCTGCCCCAAACTAATGCTGCAGACTCTCTCTTTCCAGCTTAGACAAATTGAGGGGAACTTAGCTGTCCCTACTGAAACTGGCTTCTAGATCCTTCTGTTTGGCTATTTAAATGATACTATAAACAAATTTCTGTCTAACCTTCTCCCTTGCCTCCCAGTTAATCTCGCCATTCTCAAATTCCCAAAATTGTAGAGTGTTTGAGCTGGAAGGAATTCTAGAAAACAGTTCATCTGGCTGGGCGTGGTGGCTCATGCTTATAATCTCAGCACTTTGGGAGGCCGGATGGGTGGATCACTTTGAGGTCAGGAGTTCAAGACCACCCTGGCCAACACGGTGAAACCCTGTCTCTACTATAAATACAAAAATCAGATGGATGTGGTTGCACGCACCTGTAATCCCAGCTACTCCAGAGGCTGAGGCAGGAGAATCGCTTGCACCTAAGAGGCGGCGGCTGCAGTGAGCCAAGATTGCACCACTGCACTCCAGCCTGGGCAACAGAGTGAGACTCTGTCTCAAAAAA